TGAATCTTCTGGTTCCCAATCTCATTTCATTAATTGAGTTATGAGATGAGTCTTGGCTCCCAATGTCGCTTGAGCTATGAGATGAATCTTCTGGTTCCCAATCTCATTTGAGCTATGAGATGAATCTTCTGGTTACGAATCTCATTCGAGCTATGAGATGAATCTTCTGGTTCCCAATCTCATTTCATTCATTGAGCTATGAGATGAGTCTCCTGGCTCCCAATCTCGTTTGAGGTATGAGATGAGCTTTTTGGCTCCCAATCTCGTTTCTTTTCTTTGTGAGTACTCACTTATATCTCATGGGTGAAATTCAAAGAGTTGTAGGAACTACTGGTCTCTACACTCTTCATGTTATCAATGAATCAAATTCAGCTTGGATTGATTTCGGCCATCATCCATTTGTTTACACTTATCAATTGATCAAGGTTTTATATCATCACTCATTAAAACATTCAGTAGCTACTGTGTAGGGAAGTTTATCATCGATGATCATTTCATCCCAGTACAACATCTCATTCATGCATGAATAACTAATCGAGTTTTTACTATTCACGGGAATGGATATTAATGTCGAGGCGTCCCCCGACTTCGTCTGCAGGGCGAATCCATAGTCCGGAATTATTTTATGAGATGGATCAGGTGGGATCCCATATATACTAGTGCTAAACAGATTCAATTATTGGCAATTCATCCACTTCCGGGGTGAGAATCATTTGGTCCCATTGCGCTCCCTCTCTCCTAAGAATGGAGGCAAGGCTAGTTAGCATGGATTGATGGCCTACCCGTAATTGTCCTTCTAGGACATCTATCCTTGCAGGCTTATTTGAGATCTCGTCACTTTTTCAAACCATAGAATGAGTCTGACATTATTCGTCATACACGACTTCACGCTGTTCTTCAGGAACATTAGTGTTGACATTCTTTGCAGATTTAGTAGTCGTCCCACACGACTTCACGCCGTTCTTCAGGAACGTTACTATGGACAGTACTTGAAAATCTATATTTTCATCCCACGCGACTTCACGTCTTTCTTCAGGAACGTTAGTATGGATGATCTATTAATCTATGTATCAATTCTCTGATGTAGGAGATCTTGATGAGACACTGTGGGGTCGTCCCACACGATTTCACGCCGTTCTTCAAGAACGGTAGTGTGGACGTTCTTTCCTCCCCCTAACGGCGGGAAGACAGTCTCATCAAAGTGATAGTCCGCAATTTGAGCGGGTAACAGATCGCCTGTCTAAGGTTCTAAATTTTAGTTGAAGATGGCGATACATAGTCCACATATATCTCCTTGGATTACCTCCAAGAAATGAATTGAATCATTACATGTATGTGCGTATGCTGACATATAATCAAATTACTTAATTTCGAGCAATCGACAACTTATGCTTCTGGCATACAAATTGTTGTTCTATATAACCGTGTCGAAAATTCCTCTAATTTTCCCAATGTACGCTTCTGGCCGTACATGTTAGAGATGATGCACATATATTCGATTTATTGTCTTCAGTGGTTTCAACATAATAACCATTAGCTCAAATATCTTTAAAGTTTAACAACGTTCTACTGGAACGTAGAGAAAAAAATGAGCTACTTTAATGGGCAAAACTGTGCCATGAGATACATAATTTGGACATTATCATAACCATCTATCAAAACTACATGTGCCTCATTTAGTTATCAAAGAAGTCTTGCTACAAATAGACATGAAATTAATTAAGTACGACATATCTCTCAGGATAGTATGTGTTGTCGCACTATCTGCCAGACATTTATCCCCACATGTCATGTCTATAGAGTTATATAAATCTAATCATATATATTCAGTACTTCAGGTACTAAATAAATTCATCAAGCAAACACCACTGAATAACAATTAACTTAGAGCATAAATATCTGGTCTAGAGCATAAACTAGACATAATCAAAATATGAATATGGTTCCTAACATGAGCATATGAAGTAAGATGATTGAAATTCAATAAACTAATAAACCCGAGTAATAAAATAAACATAATTCATGAAATCAACAGTTCAATCATATCCCAACATGGGTTATTTGGTCAGATGTTCCCAAGTATGGAAGCTGAGCTATGGACTATATATTGAAAAAAAAATTACCTCTACTAACTCAGTCTATGCTGGTGCATTATTATTTGCATCTCCAGCCCCAACGTTCCTCGCATTTCAGGTGCACGACCAATTCTTAGATCCACCACATATAAACATATATCTATGTTCTGATTTTGAGCTCTATTCGGATTTTCAAATTCATATACAAATCGTTTATGAATTTCCTTGTTCCTTGCTTCCGGCAAGTGTATAGTCTTTTGGTAATCAAAACGACTAGTTAGGGTATCCCATTCTTTATGGGGACCCTCGTTTGATGAATAGTCCAGACGAAGGACTTCATCTAATTATCTCGTAATCAGAAACATAGTCTCAGCCTTCTGGGCTTACCTAATAAATTATTCTCGAAAACAATCATTCTCACTTGCTCACTAAGCATATAGATCTTAACATCCATTCTCCAACCAATCAGAACTTTCACCAAATACATTAAGTTGGGTAACCTCGAGTTTGCTCATGTGTTTCATCTCAAATCAAATAGAATAATGAGTATTATTGTTTTATGGGAATGTAACCTCCATAAACAATTTCATGAATATTTTGCACATATTAGAACTTCCGGTCTAATAATTCATACACCACATGTTCATACACATACATTCATGGATTTCATACGATAAACCATAACGACAAACGAAATATTGCTTACCATTTTTGTATCAAAAAAATTACATATGGCAGATAAATAATGGATAAATTGAATAGAATTCTCCATAATAATTTGAGCAAATTATTCATCCAATTTAACGTACATGTGCCAAATATATATAATATGACATAACCTTAAGCATATAATTGGTCATGATGTAACCGTAAATAGCATGTATAGTCCATATAGGATCCATGATTTAATCAGACAATATTTCAAACAGTTAATGACTAAAGCTACAATCGGGTTGGATAAGAAACAAAGAGAATTTCATTATCATAATCAAAACAATTCATAAGCCAATGCATACTGCTGCATAGAAATTCATAGTCATTAAGCATGTAGTCCACAGTTTTCTCTATATTCTAGCAATGAAACATTCATAATATAATTCCAGACCACGCACTAGAAAATTATGAATTAAAAGGGCAGAAAAATATTATCTATTTTATGATATGCAATAAAACATTCGCTGGCGCAATACATTGAATTCTAGAGATAAATGAATCACAATATTTATACATAGATGTGAAGACATAAATTGACATTTTAGCCACAGGAGAATGAAAATATGGTTCAGCATGTGGAAATTTTGCAAACACAAGAAACAACCATATAAATTAAATTAATGTGCTCATTATACATGACTCTTACTATGCATGCTCAGAGTTATAATTTCGAGATAAATATATCATTCTTCGTATATATCATGCCATCAAATTTATCTAGCATGCATCTCTTAAGAAACTGAAATTGTAAGGGATTACCGTTTTACATGCAAACCCGAATCACAAGTTCTTCGGGTAACCTCGTCCCATGAACAATTATCTTTCCACGAGCGCCCTAATTCTTCGAGTATGCTTGCCCCACGAATGATTATCTTTCCACGATCAAGGCAAGCAATTCGTGCTGATAACGTGTTGTAAAATCGTTTACTTATCTATTTCTTTGGTTTGTGTTTGTGGAAATACATAAGAATGTAAATAACAAGACAAGGAGAGAAATAGAGAATGCAGATAACAACAATCCGTAGAGAGAAAATTGTGGGTGTTTAGGGGAGGGGAGATTCTCATTTATATAGGTGTAATTCACCGGAAGTTACAAAGGAATTACATTGGAGTTACAACCACTACAATGTTTGGGGATAATGGGGTAGTGGGAAGTTGAGAATCTATAGTGGAATGGTCAATGGAGGTTACAACCTCTCACGTGTTAGGATAGGAAGACCCATATTTCCATATTATTTACAACAGGATCTAATTTTACAATATTAAGATCAATTTATTTATCAATAAACCAGTCACCAGGTTATAGACATTTTTAAGTACTTCTCTAAACATTTCCATTGCAATGACCAACCTCCTAAAATGTATTAGAACATTGATTGAGTCACTCCCAACCATATGATTAAATCAATTTACATAATGCATTAAGGAAGTCAAGGAGTATAATTAGAGCATCATTTCATTTTTAAACCTACCAAACAGACTTATAGACACTAAACTCTTAGGCCTATGAAATCTTAAGACATGCCATGTCCTCAAATTTGATTTTGAATTCTTTCTTCTGTTTAAATTGTGTTTGAGCTACTTTGATTATCACACTACTCCTAACCATTTTCTTGATTTTTTTTCTAGTTTTTCATATTTTTCGACAACTAAAAAGAAGAATATGAAGAATTGTGCTTGAAATTCTCCAATTAGATTAAGTACAAACTTTGCCAAATTATGACTTAATTTATAGATGCGCTCCAAGAAGTATAACCCCTCGGACCCGACCACACGTCCATATATGAGGAGACAATTGCAGAGGAGACAATTGCACACATTTATGTGTTTCAGTTGGTGTGTTTCAGTTGTTATTACCCGACCACACGTCCATATATGAGGAGACAATTGCAGAGGAGACAATTGCACACATTTATGTGTTCCGACCACACGTCCATATATGAGGAGACAATTGCAGAGGAGACAACTGCACACATTTATGTGTTTCAGTTGGTGTGTTTCAGTTATTTGCTTCCAAATCATTTTCTTGCAAAACAACCTGTTATTTCCTTCCAAATCATTTTCCGCATTTTCTTGCAATATGTCTCGCCGTTTGAATATTTTACAATTATCCACGTATATATACAATTTTTTTTTCATTAATCTTCAAATTCTACGAACTTCATTAAGTTGGCTTAATACATTTATGAATTTATGTACTCCATGACATATTAAAAAATAAATATAACTATCATTGAAATAGTCGGTATCACAACACAATTTTCAAATACTAGAAATTAGAAGTGTATTGAAAACTTCACTTTACATTTAAACGGATTACCTAAATGGTTTAGCCAATAAATAAGTTTATGACCAATAACAACCTAAGCCAATTGATAATTTTGATACATGTTTGTCAAAGTTCAGAAAAAATTGGTTAAATGTATGCAAAAATAGTATTATGTGAAAAACAAGGCCTCAATGGAGTAGCCTCCTTTTATTAGTCGCTCCATCTTCCCAGTGCTTCTCCCATTCGTATTCTTTCGCCCCTCTTTACGCAAAAACTAAATTCCGAAGATTGGGAAATTGGAGCTTGGAAGACTAGCACCACGGTTGACCCCATGTTGAAAGCAGCTACCTGCAACGGTTAAACGGAAGCAAAAAAACAAGAAGTCGTCAAATTTGGTCTCGATCCATACTTCATAGTTAGTTAGGAACATGTAAAAGAAGACGTAATAACCAAGTCTCATCACTACCAACTGGCAAACCAATGTATAATTCATCCATTAGATGTTACTTTTATTCTATTTGCATTGGCGTCAAAACTGCATTGCTCGTTTTATTTATACGACTTTCTAATCATTGAACTGATCATGCGCTCACCTAAGTGGCCGATTACACCTTAAAATAACTTCCATTTTATATTTTATATACTCCGTATAACTAGATTATGCACGGTCACCTTAGCAGTTTTAAAGGTACTTTTATACACATGATGAAGGCTTGTGAGCATAAAATGTGTTGCCAAAAAAAGAAACTACCAAAGCATTGCAAAAGATATACGAAGTTCCTTTCAGGAAAAGGAGATTAAACATTTCATAGTTGGAAAAGAATGGATTGGAAACTGTTTAGTACCTCGTCTCCCTTTTTAAGAAGCACTCCTTTGCCTTCAGGTTCATATAACCGTTCTTCGGGGGGCTCTGAATGCAGCAGTTTCTTTTGCGGATTATTTGTCCTCAGAGTTGGTTCGATAAAAAGCTGTCACATAATTCGAAAGTAAACGCTTTGAGTCAAGGGTACAGAGAGTCGGATCCTAGAGAAATGCATCACCAGCTAATCAAGTAAAGTATATACGGGCGAATCGAACCAAATAGCTGACAACTGTACCCAGGGGCGGACCCAGGGGGGTTTTCTTGGAGGGGCTGAAATATCGGGGTAATTTAAGAGAAGATTTTTTTTTTGTTTTTATGGACTAAAGTGTACAAAATTAAAAGTTTG